GCACACATCGGGATCGTACGGAGCGGGATGTGACACAGATATTATCTGAAAGGTTTTTTGTAGTGTAACAAGCCGTTTTTGGTTGATTTGATACATTTGTTTCTTTTATTGAACGTAATTTTTTTTTGTTATTGAAAATTTGGACGTATGCGTCCGAACCACTAGGCGGCGACAGTGAAAGGGGCTGTTCGGTCCCTGTATGACCGGTGTCAGAGCTTGGTCCACATGATCGGCGATAAGTCGGACTTGTTTCCGATGAGGGTTGCACTCCGTCAGGGCTGCCCTTTGTCACCGATTTTGTTCATAACGTTTATAGACAGAATTTCTAGGCGCAGCCAGGGTGTTGAGGATGTCCGGTTTGCTTTTTGAAGATGATGTGGTTCTGTTGGCTTTATCGGACCGTGACCTTCGGCTCTCACTGGGACAGTTCGCAGCTGAGTGTGAAGCGGCTGGGATGAGAATCAGCACCTCCAAATCCGAGACCATGGTCCTCAGCCGGAAAAGGGTCGAATGCTCTCTCCGGGTCGGGGAGTTTAAGTATCTCAGGGTCTTGTTCACAAGTGAGGGAAGGATGGAGCGGGAGATCAACAGGCAGATCGGCAGTGATGCGGGCAATGCATCAGTCCGTCATGGTGAAGAAAGAGCTGAGCCAAAAGGCAAAGCTATTGATTTACTAGTCGATCAACATTCCTACCCTCACCTATGGTCATGAGCTATGGGTAGTGACCGAAAGAACTAGATTGCGAGTACAAGCAGCCGAAATGAGTTTTCTCCGCAGGGCGGTTGGGCTTTCCCTTAAAGATAGGGTGAGGATCTCGGTCATTTGGGAGAGACTCAGAGTAGAGCCGCTGCTCCTCTGCATTGAGAGGAGCCAGATGAGGTGGCTTGGGCATCTGCTTAGGATGCCTCTTGGACGCCTCCCTGGTGAGGTGTTCTGGGCATGTCCCACTGGGAGGAGGCCCAGGGGAAGACCCAGGACATGCTGGAGGGACCATGTCTCTCGGCTGGCCTGGGAACGCCTTGGGATTCCCCCGGAGGAGCTGGAAGAATTGGCCAGGGAGAGGGAATTCTGGGTTTCCCTGCTGAGACTGCTACCCCCGTGACCCAACCTCGGATAAACGGAAGAAAATGGATGGATGGGTTCTTTTATTGCTCTATTTTACATACTGACTCCGGCCTTCTTTGCGCACACGCACCACACACACACACACACACAGCTCTTACCCCACCTGGTGGCAGCACACAATAACAATGATAATATGCAAGAATATGCATCTACGATCTTCTCTCTGAAGGCCTCAGAGAGCTCTTTGGATCTCACCATGGTGATACCACTCACTTCAATAATCAAGAGCAAACCAAACTAAATGTCCGTGGTTTAAATAAGACCGGCTCCACCAAAAAACTCTGTAACTATGTCCTAATCATTTTCATCTGATGTGGTACACCAGAATCTAATTCTGGGCATTTTAAATAGTAATGGATGTGAAGGTGTCCTAACTTTTTCCTCGGTGGAAATTGGCATTATAGTTAATTTCTTCTCTTAAATAAGTGAATTTTCTCTTGTTTTTGCATAGGTCATACAATTAAATCACCTTTAGCTACAGATTTGAAAGAAGATTTAATATTGATATGCCAATATCTCTTAATAAAGAACTAAATTTTTAATGGGGTGTCCTACATTTTTTATATGACTTAAGATATTGACGCTAGTGAATTGATCATGCGAAGTGTGTCTAGAGCTGCAAATCCAAAGCTGCGTGGACACAAATTTAGAGTGCAGCAGGCATTCATCCGTGGAGGTGCACAATGACGTCAAGCCCATCATAAACGTTCAAGCAGACACATCCGCTAGTACACATGCGGATGAACCAACCTTTACTCCTTATCAGGTTCATGGCCTCCTGACAGCTGCTGCTGCCACTTTATCCTTGTTTCCATACGTTTCCACATTCCACAGGTTTCGATGGGCGTGTGGGACTTCCTGGAACCAAAGGACAACGAGGTGCCGATGGAGCCATCGGAAGCCCAGGCTTACGTGGCCCCCCAGGAGAAGGCACCTCGAAGGGGATAGTAGGACCTCCTGGACCAGTGGGAATCAGGGGTAATCAAGGACCTCCAGGTCAGGAAGCTCTCCTCCAGTCTCCTTCCGTCCTCTTTAGCATGTTGTATAATCATCTATGAGTGTGAAGATAACATGGCTAAAGGCAGAACTTGGTGCCATGTTAAAAATAAGTGCTCAAAGCAAAATGTATCAATAATAGGTTTAGATTTACAGTAATGTGAATTTTTATATTGGCATTGTAATTGTGAGTAATAATGTCCATCTTTTTGTCACACTATGTTCTTGGTGTTCTTGGCCACTGCCTAGGCTGTGAAGGTGAGAAGCCGTGTCCCACCGGAGACATGACACTACGTGTCTCACCTGCTTTTTGCGCTGATGTAGCTCTTTGGGCTTCTGCGCACACAAATGAGCATGTAGAGCTGCCTGCTCTGTCTCAGCAAAACCATGAGTACAGGCACCATGTTCTGTTCTGGGACACCATGGGACAAGAAGGTCAAGGCTAAATTCATTGTGTGACAGACCAGGAGTTAAGATCCTGTAGTTCTTATTCAATTGAATGTGTGTGTGTGTGTGTGTATGTGTATGTGTGTAACAATCCTCTACAGACAGTCCCTGAAGGCACAAGATGCCATACAAATCCAGTTCAGACTTGATGGAAGCCTGTTTAATATTAGATGTCTTCAGTCAAGAATGAAGACGACCATCTGTAATGTCCAAGAGCTGCAATATGCGGATGACTGCGCTTTCCTTGCCCACAGTGCTAGAGCTATGCAGCATACCCTGGACATTGTGTCTTCAGTGTACCACTCACTGGGTCTGCAGATTAATACCCAAAAG